CTTGCTGGAGCGAGTGGTATTGCAGGCAGTGTTCCCTCATTCTGCTTCCTCCGTGTATATACCCTCAACTCCCCTGCAGCATGAATCTCACCACCTCTTGGTTCAATCTCCTCATTTTCTGGCTCCTCAGTTGATTCATCCCACATCACAGGATAAGACATCTCTCTCACATGCACCAATCTCGCACCATTACTACTTGCCATTCCTTGCTACATACCTCCATTATCCGGTGAGTCAACAATAGGTGAGGTCAGTTCCAGGGTGTAGTACAGTTCAAGTTCTCTGAAAAACACATTCATTCTCACAAACAGTCTCTTCTCTATCGGACTCCAACAAACATATCCCTTCTGGTGATCCAGCTCCCTATTGATGGCCTGTTATCCTTTACAAAACATACACAACCAAATACTCTCAATGGGAGAATCCCGCTATTATTTATTTCGACATCTGAGAAGGGGGCTTCAAATTCAACACTCTCGAGGGATTCTGTTGATCAATTGAGCATTTGACAATTACTCGCCCCATAAGTGCTTTAGGACAATCATCGTGATCATAATGCTTCGGAATACCTCCAGGAGGTGCCTCTTTTTTCGATTTGCTACTCTATTTTTTGTTGATGTTTATGCACATGTGGTTTTATGTTGTATCCCTAAAGCTAACAAGTATTCTCCAACCCTCTTATTGGTATAATTTGTTCCATTATCAGGCTTCAATACCTTCACTATTGCATTATATTGAGTCTGGGTTACCATGTGTAAATCTTTAAAACAAGCAAACACATCACTTTTATTTTTCATCGGATACAACCAAGTAGCACAAGAAAAACAATCAATAAAAGTCACAAAATATCAATAACCATTCATTGAACTCGTAGAACAAGATCCTCAAACATCAGAATGTACCAAATCAAAACCACAAGGACTCCTATTCCAAGAACTAATATAAGAGCTCCCAGTAATCTTGTCAAATTCATAAACATAACATACAATTTTTTTTATTTGTCTTTTCATAAAAAGATAGATATAAATGACTAAGAAAGCTAAAACAAAAATATCACATGCTTCTGTAATGTAGCAGTAGCACATCCTCCAAACTAATCCCTGATCCCCCTACTCCAACACTCCCTACCATGGATGTCAAAGTTGATTTCATCTCTTCTCTATCCAAGTGTCAAAGTCTACTATGTCACGTTCTAGCCCTAAGTGTCTAACCTGTTCCTTTCTCTTGAAAAATCACCTTACGGATATCAAATGAAACAACATATTTTACTTGGAGAAAAATGGCACTAATGAATAAAAGGTTTACTATAAAGAAATGAACATGCAAAACATTGAACAAAGTCATAAAATCCGTACATCCCACTGTATTCTTACCAATTGCAGGCTATGTTATACCATCAACAGTCTATATGCTCTCTAGAACAATTAGGTAAGTATTGGAAAAGAACTTAAGCAAAACCTATCACATCTCGAGATGCACCATAATTTATTACCCATTCTGATGAACTTGTGGTAGAAATAGTAACAAGAGCATGTGTATCACGAATACCTTTGCAGATTAAGCATAAGTAGCAATGTTACCCCTTGAAGACGATGAGGTGGATGTATTCTCAGCCCCTTTACCTGTTAATTTTTGGTTCCTCTTCAACTTCTCCAGAAACTAGTGATCCTCATCGATAAAAACCACACCTGTCTCTCCCTCATCCTCTACTACCATCAGATTTTCCCGATAGGTCCCTTTTCCACCTCTTCAACCACGACGACCACTGCTAGCAAACTATCCACATCCACCTATCATTGTCTCCTTAGGTGGCGTAGGATAGATCTTGCTCAGATAGCCTACTTCACCATAGTAGTAGCACTTGCAAGTCACCGCCTAGACACCCCTCATACCTAAGTGTGATACAGTCAAAGCTGATCGTGTACCTGAAAGTCCACTTGACTCAAAGTGTAGCCTCATATGACTCCTCTTATATCATCGCAGTGATGGCCTCATCAAGTGAAGGAATCGTTGCCTAGGCTGGGAGGACTGATCTCTTATGATCAAAGGTCGTGTTCAGATGAGCCAAAAACTACATAGTCCTGATCTGTGCAAAGATTTCTCCCTTCTTGCATCCTAGATCACCACAGTCCATAGCTTGACATCAGTGAAAAGTGATCAAGATTCGCCCATTGTCACTCCAGATTTATGGAGTATACCTGAATCGGGAGACCTACTTCATCGCAATTGTAGCACTCGTGAGTCTCCTCCGGGACATCTGTCATACCTAAGTGCAATACAGTCAAAGCTAATCGTGTACCTCAAAGTACACTTGACTCAAAGCATAGCCTCATGTGACTCTCCTCTTATATCATCGTAGTGATGGCCTCATCCAGTGAAGGGATTGTTGCATAGGCTGGGAGGACCGATCTCCTCTAATCAAAGTTCGTGTTCAAATGAGCCAAAAGTTGCATAGTCATCATCTGTGCAAAGATTTCTCCCTTCTTACATCTCGGATCACCACAGCCTGACATAAGTGAGAAGTGATCAAGATCCGCCCACAGTTGCTCCAGATCTATGGAGTACTCCTGAATCGATTTATCACCTTGTCCCACTGTCTCTATCTCGCGTTGAATCTAGAACATCCTCATGTGGTTCTCAGCCCCAATATAGATCCTATTCAACTTCGTCGAGATGTCCCTCACCTTTTGAATGTCGTCTACTGATGAAACAATCGATGGAACCATCGAGTTGAGTAATCATGTGTAAAAGAAGGCATGTGCGGTCCTTTAATCATCCCCCTCAGCACTGGCACTCTTTGGCTTGACCTCCGTCAAATATTCCTCTAGTTTCTTCCCTACTATAGCTGCCTCAATTTGACGCGATCAACTCAAACATGTGACCTGCTCATCAAGCTTCAGATCCACAGGAGGGAGGTCTAGCTTCACCTGTGTCAGAGCACATGCTGAGGTAGTGATTTATGTCAAGGCGTTAGCTCGTTGTATGAGCTCGAACAAGGCCATCAAAAATTTAGGATCTATCTTCCATAGAAGCTCCAATCATTTACCTCTCGAACTACTTTCATCTCCTGACATCTTCAATCACAAGGATCCAAGTCTAGATCACACGCGACTTCCTTCCTCTTCTTGACATGATCCCGATCTATCACATCATCAAGATCAAACTCAATTTAACAATTCATTGCTTTGTATGTCCAATTTGAAGCCTCGTCAATTTCTGTTCCAAGCAAAGCCCCCTTATTCTGTCTCCCGCGCAACACATAACAGCAAAAACCTCTGCATGTTTCCTTGTCGCGATCCAGCAATTGAAGGCTTTGCCCTCTCCCTGCTCCTACGCAAGCAAAAGCCTACACTTCCCCTCTGCTTCGCAGCAAACAAAAAGATCTTTTTGTATGAAGACATTTGAAACTCCCTAATTCTTCTATTCACCGTGTGCTAAACAAGAACGGCAGAAACACAGCCATCATCTCTTCTTCGTTCGCACGGCAACAGCAGCAAAGATGGGTAGCAGGACGCCAAGACCTTCAAATTCCAACAGTCATAATTAGGGCTCATTGGAAAGCGACGACGGGATTGCACAGCACTAAGACCTCTAAAAATCCCTTCTTCTGCTCCTTCTGTGTTCGGGAAAAGCAACCATAGGATCGTTGCGTACAAAAATCTTCCAAAGCTGCTCTCGCCTTCCTGCATTTGAAGCTAAAGCCTCCTCCCACTCGTTCTTTCCTTAGGTTTGAGCGCAGTGCTAGGGATAGGGCTCTAATACCATCAAGAAATAATTGTTCTAAAAGACGGATTATTTCATTAATGACTTGGGCTTATATAGAGCCTTACAACATTTTTATAAATAAATCTCTGGACTTCTTCTAATTACAAATTAAATCCAAAATTAGATAATAATCTCAACAAGGTCAAATGTTCCAGTCTCAAAAAAAATCTCAAATGAAGGGACAAGGCCAAGTAAATCAACTCGTGCCAATACACTCTATTGGTAATAGAGCCTTACAACATTTTTTTAAATAAATCTTTGGACTTCTTCTAATTACAAATTAAATCCAAAATTAGATAATAATCTCAACAAGGTCAAATGTTCCAGTCTCAAAAAAAATCTCAAATGAAGGGATAAGGCCAAGTAAATCAACTCGTGCCAATACACTATATTAGGGACTTCAACGCATAAAATTCACTTCATTCTCTTTTTTTGTACTCGCATTTTTTTTTAATTTGAAGAATAATTTCAATTTAAAAAAAGGGAGTTTGCCAATTACTTGAACACAGGAATGTGAAAGCTGTATTTGCTAGGGATAAATGTCATCGTACATGCACAAAGATCTAAATTATCAGGATGAATGCAAAAGATTATTACCCTCGATAAATTCCTCAAGGAAAAAAATATACACTAGAAAGCAATGAAAATAATGTTTTCACATCATGGACAGAAAACCCCAAGAAATAGGGAAGCCGCAAGAAATAGGGAAGCAGCATGCAATGTGACAAACAGAGACCGTACAAGTTAATAATGATCTTTTAAATTTTCACAAGATGGTAGCTGAGCTAAAAAATTTCACTTCAGTACAAGTTATTCATGAGTTCAACAATTTACACACTCCATCAAAAAAATAGAAAACAAATATAGATTCAATAAATACTCTAACAAAGTTAACCATTTCTTACAACAAGTAAAAAGGTGCTGAATAAGAATCCAAACCAAAAGTTAACACCCTTCTAAGAAAATTTAGATAATCATATACCTGGCTAAGAGGCAAAGAGATAGAATTAGTGCTGAATATCAATAAAAACTGCATTCCTATAAAGGGAGTACAATCACATATTTGTAGTAAAAGAAAGAAGGGTTGGAGAAGGCATAGTAGAAATTGAAAAAGGCTAAAGAATAAATATGACAAGTTAGTGTTTCAGCCTTGCCAAGATATTGTCTGAAATAGATTAACATCATTCATGTCCAGCATAATTTAATAGGTGATCACATATTTTAGCATATCTTACCCCAGTTGAAAATAAATAATCATGAGGATATATTGGCAATTCCACTGAATCCTCAAAATGGAAGATGATCTTCGGGAAGCCATCATCAACACTGACAGAAAAGGAAAAGCATATGAGAAAATAGGTATCATTCATACAAATAAATTAACCGGATGTTCAAGGAATGCAGCATGATATTAAAAGCAAAATCAGTAATCAGAAGAATAAATAACAAGAGAAACTCCTATGATACAAGAATTTCCTCTTCCTGGTCCTCCTAAATTAACAAATGAGCTTGATTTGAATGGACAAAGCCCACAAAAACAAACTCACCATAATGCTCCATTTTGGGCTATGGAAATTCACACCCGGGTTTTGTGAGTGTTTTGTATTTGTTCTTAGTCACATTTTCACAAGATATATCAGATTTTTTAGATATATAAATATCCAAAAATTTTACCCTCATTTTGTGAGAACTTCAATATTTAATTCCAAGTTTCCTTTAGGCACAATCTCCTTTGATTAATTATCCCTCCACAAGATGAAAAAAAAACTTTCAATGTAAGGCTATCCAATAGGCGCTAACTCTCTAGCATATAGTAGCAACAATTTTAGCTTTAGATTAAGGAAATTTAACCGCTTTAGCTTAAAGCAGATGGTGGGAAATATTAATAAATTGATCAAGACCTTATGATTTCATCATCCCAACTTGTTGGGGACCTTTGTTTACTTAACTAGGAGAGGTTGTTGATCAAATTTAATTGAAGAATCCTTATAAGCAGTCATATGTTACATCGTCCAAGGGAACTTATAGACTTGAAGTGGATGTTTTTTTTAAGAAAAGAATTTTAAGTTGACCTCAACTCATAGGGGGTTTTATGCCCATCAAATGTATCATATGATTCACAACTCAATAGAAAAGAGCAAATGAAGAACATCTGCATTTTAGGCATGGCCTTAAAACAAGAGTATAATTTTGTAGTGAATCACCCGAGTTGAGTGTCCTGATCTTAATTTTTTTATTTATTTTATTTTAATTTGTGATACCATTTAACAGCAAAATCAGATGGTAATAAAACCTATGCCATGAATTCATTGCGCAAGATTTTTTTCAGAATATGTTTGATATGAAATTAGTTTTGCATGAGCTTAGGTTAATCTTAAATTTGTCATACACGACAACCTAGTGTAAATGATGAATTATTGTTATTTTGCTTCAAGTGACAGATTTATTTTCTTTTTTTTTAAATATTTTTATATATCTACTTGTTTATCTGAATTTAGACCCCAAAGTGACTCGCATAAGACTTCGGGACATTTTAATGAAGTTATTCCCTCCAATTGATAACTTCTATTCACACAACCATCATAAGGGCAAAGAGATTTCTTTTTTTATTTTATTTTTTTTGCTCAGGATCTTGTTAACAATATTAGTTTGACTGATTGATTGAAGAGACTTGAATCTGTAGTTTGCATAATGCTTTAATTCAAATTAAATACTTATTGTGCAAATTTGCCAACACTATCTCATGCATAGAGATCGGGTATGTGGACTGGTGCTTATTATTATGTTTTAGAGGTATCACACCGAGAGTTTTAATTTTAAAATAGGTTTTCTTTGAGAGAAAAAATTGATAGATTTAAGAAAGTTCTAATAGGGAGTGCTTTATGGATTTCTCTAGGCTTGGAGGGTCACCATGAATATGTTGTTCTAGGGAGTGCTTTATGGATTTCTCTAGGCTTCTCACTCCCTTCCTTTGTGATCAAGGAGGGATGGAATAGAACTACAACAATGAAGACTAGAAGGAAAAGAACTAAAGCCAAAGGTTGTACAATCATGGCAATGGAAGTATGAAGGAAACAACCAAAGGTGTAAATGAGTCGAATTGAGCATGAGTCATACCTAGCATGAGTTTGGATATCTTACCAAAATACTAGCTTGAACTTGAACTCAAGCTCGAGTTGAGCTCAAACAGCGAGCTCAAGATTGGCTCACTACGATAGTGATGGGCTCAAGCTCAACATGTGAACTAGAGCCAAAATTAAAATTAAAAAGGAGAAATAAAGTTATAATAGGAATTCATGGGAGTGATGGTAATGAGAACTAGGGTTGTTTAAAAAGCCTGTCATTTGCAAATAACTTGGGTTACGTTTGTTAAGTAGTTCGTATTCGACTCGTTAAGTAGCTAGTGTTTGGCTCATCGTTAAGCTCAATGAGATGAATAGGAACAATCTTTTAACCTTGAAATGCAAATAAATTGAACACAAACAAACGTTTGTTCGATCGTGTACGGCTCGAATTGACTCAAAATATTTAAATAATTATATATATATTTGACAAGTGTTAATTTAATTAAATTACTTCTAAAATAAGATTTATAAATTATAATTAATTAAGATTTTGTAATTTAAAATATATCATATTAAAAACATATTAATCTTATTTAACTTAGTGTTTTAATTTCAGCCATTGGATCATCTATCATACATTGGATTCCAAATAAACCTAAGTCCTACATAACCTAAGATAAAACCCTAATCTCTTATTCAGCCGAATCCCAATCCCTACTCATTCTGTCTCGTTTCATTTCGGTCCCGAGAGCAAGATGAAAGTTCTTTGTAGGATTTTCGTTCGTTCTCTTTATCCTCGATGCTGCCTCGAAAATTGCATTCGCTTGATCATCTTTCGCCTCTCTCTTTCGATTCTAAATGGTTGGATCATTTTTTATAGCTCAATTTTATAGTGGTTGGTATGGACCTACGGTGTTATCTGAGTATCCCCTCTCTAATCTCTCAAATTTATTTTTCAAGTGTCACATATTGCCTTTACATTAACAGGTCTGTCTCTTAGCACAAATTTACTTGCATTGTTTTTTAGATTTATTTAGATTTCTTGAGTGAAATCTGCTTTTTGGAGTGTTGGTTAATGATATTTCCTGGTTTTGAGATCTAGCATTTTTCTAAGCTCGAGATTTAACTTGTGGGTCTTGTGATATCTTTGTAGCTTAATTTTTTTGTTGTGGTGGATTACTTTTGTGGCAAATGACTAATGCCGCCGGACCACCAATTCATCAACACTTTTCTATTTTTATCTTTTGCTCATGCAAAATTTAGGGCTCTATTTTGGAGTAAAGACAGTACTGAAAATTTTATCCAAATGTATATAAGTATATCAAGGCTTATGACCGTTTTAGGTTTAGCATTTTTATTCTGTTTTGATTGTTACTTTAGCTTGTTAATTAACTGTCTAAAGATAATACAAAATTTTTGCATATTATGTGTTCATTTCCAACAATACATTAGAGATGATCATTAATGTAATCTAGTTAGTGTTACATTTAGCTAATGCACGTGCGCAATATATATATCAGTATACATAATATATCTGCTGATTTAGAATTACTATGTCTGTTTTAGGGTTAGGGCTATTGTTATTCTTTAATTTTGGTGGCTGTTGCAGTTATTGTTGGCTTTGGTTTTTGTTTTAGCTTGTTAAAAAAGTGTTTAGGGTTAAATTTTAAAGCTTATAAAGCCTGATTATAGATTATTTCATTTGTACTTCAGTTAAATTATAACATGGCAAACTATATTAAATTTTTTTTTTTTTTGGTAAATGTAAGTAAATTTTTGAAGCATACACTTATCTGGCCAACAAATATTGATATTTTATTATTTAAACTTTTAAATCAAATTTGCTCTTGAAATTATTTTAGGAAATCATTGTTTTATTGTTTAAAAAAAGTTATTAGAGCAAAGATTTTTTTTCCGCAGAAAATTACAAACTAAATAAAAATCTATAACTATAATAATTTTAATCTAAAAAGCTAATTTAGAGCCAAACACAAACATGAAAAAGTAATTCAAGTCAAACACAAATAGACTGTTCAAGAACTACTTCGAACATGAGCTGAATTCGAACAGGAAGATTTTTAAACAAGCCAAGCCAAGCTTGACTGAGCTAAGCCTGAGCAAGTTTAGCTCATTTACAACCCATTGAAAACTAGTTAGATAAGGAATAACGATAGAGAAATTAAGATAGCTTACAAAAACTAATGAGAGAAAAAATGGCTTATGCTGGCACGAAACTCTCACAACGAGAGCTCTACAAAAAAGAAAACAACTAGATCGGCGAGCAAAGTTACCACATAAGCTCACGAAAGATGGGTTTGGAGAAGAATTTGAAGTGACAATTTTAAATCAGACGGGGGAAAAAATTAAAAGTATGGAATTAAGAAGTGAATGGTTCAACAAGTCAACAATCAAAACTTAAGCTTGAGCTTATAAAACAAATGAGCTCGAATTTGAGCACGATCGCAAACTTACTGTCCAATAGAATTCAAGCCAGCCCGGATGTTGGCTAGGCTCACTTACACTCCTAACTACAACTTATTTGAATGCAAAGAAAAGAAAATCCTATGGCTCTAATAATATGACAAGAACTAGAGAAAATTAGTTGTATTTCATTTCATCATTTGTGCTAAATTTACATAATCCTAGGAACACTTCTAGTAGAAACTATATTAATTTGAGACTTTGAAGATGGCAGATGCAATCAATGAGATAATTATAATATGTAATAAGTTAAGAAGAGATTGTTGGGCTAAAGATGGAAAGGGCCACAAAATTTTGAGGTAGATATGGCCAACAAAAAAGAAGAGCTGTTGGGGGGCGATTGAAGGCAAAGACTGTTGTGGTGTAACTGGAGGGAATGGGTGAAAACTGGACTAATGGTCGTAGCCAGCTGGGCAAAACCTCATGCATAGTCTGACTAGGTGCCAAACGGGAGCATTTCCACAAGAATTTTCCATATTAATGAGAAATAAAAAAAGATGACTCTTAATTTAAGATTTTCATAAGAGAGAAAGAGAGACAGAGGTTAGGAATATATTATACAAGTACATTTTTTTAGATAAAATGGTCAATTCATCCTTGAAGGAAAAAGACAAAAGACAATAAATGGATTGAAAACACAAAATCAAGTCCAACAAACCAGAAGGGCAAGAACAAATAGTAATATAAACAATAAGTGATGAAAGGAAAAGAAGAATTTAGGAAACTAAGCTCAAAACATTGGTTGCATAGCCCAATGGTATTGCCACTACCTCCAAATTGTAGGTACGTTTAATTCCGTAAAGAAAACCTCAAATACTTGGGAACAATAAGTAAAATGACTAAAGGTTCTATTTGATTCAAACTTTAAGCGACTTTAGGCTAGTTAAAATCAATAGAAGATCTATTACTTTGTCTGGTTTAGCTTTATACTGGCTTTATGGTTTAATTGTGTAATAAGGACACAAGATTTCTTAACGTAGTAGTTTTAAGTACCTTAAAGAAGTATTGAGGACCCTAATCTGTACATAAGTTGCCTTAAGATTTTTTGTGGATATTTTATTGAATATGAAATATTGGGGCTTTCCCCCCATCATCTCTCTCCTCTGAACTTTTATCCTGTTTTTATGTATTCTTCTTTTAACTTTCTGCTATCCTTCAACCATTATCTCTGTTCGCACCAAAGTGTGGGAATAACACTTGCTGTATAAAGATATAAAAAAAAAAACTTAGGTGTTTTACACATGTATAATAGAGTAGAAGATGCGCCAATAAAGAGTGGAGGGAAAGCTACATAAAAGCAATAGAAAGAAGATGGAGACCAAAAGTACATGATCAAAATATTTGCAAAAAAGAGTTCCATAAAATAGAGTTACCACACATACAACAATAAATAGGAATAAATGATAGAGGAGAATTACTAAGCCGGACAAAACGATGGTTGGAATAAGGATAATGATGAAAAATCATGAAAATAGCTCTTTGCAATACAATAATAAGGTTGCATACATAAACCACTTCAAAAAATGATGTGGCGAACACAAGTGAGCCATTTTTTTCTTTTCTCGCGAGTGAATAAACTACAAAAAGTTTTATCCAGCTTGGTGTTCATACCTAAAAGTACATTAAACCAAAGTCTACATTAATGATTTCCTATTCTTCTATACTTCAAACATTTCTCATCTCAATATAAATTCAGGATTAGAAGGGCAATGGTGGCTCCAAAAATAAAACAGAAGTTTCTGAGATGATTGCATAAAACGTGCATTCCAGGAACATAAATAAAGAAAGCGAGTTTTATGTTCATCAAAAAAACACTGCACTAAAAGTATAACAATGTACAATAATTGTACCCTCTTTTTTTCTTTTTTATATCTAACAGAAATATTTTCTTTTTTATTTCTAATAGAAATATTAGAAAGCTCGGACAGCTTAACTAATAAAATAAATACGAATTAATTAGATAATGATATAAAATTTTAAAAACTAATGCAGTCTATACATTCACCTAGGAGCATACCTTCCTGAAAATTCAAAGCAAAGAAAACCCTGGGTGGTTTGGAAGGTCAAACCAGGCTGATAAGAAAATATCTAAAAAGAAATGTCAAAAAAATTAGTAAATAAATTCAGCATAAATAACAATTACATTCATAAAAAATAAAATAAAATAAAATCTTACCGCATTCATCAATGCCTTAAAAGCTTGCTCTGGTAGGTAAGCCAATGTTGTTCCACTGTCAAGTATTGTACCTTTGTTGTCCCCTGTTTCAAAAATATCGGTTGGAAGTTTCAGGAATTCCCCACCAACTTGAATTGACTTAAGTATGATGTTGTAATGTGGCCTACAAAATTTAAAAGCTAAACGTTTACTGTAGATCCACAAAAAATGTGTAAATTTACAGACAATAAATAACATAACACTAGATCCATGGCAATTTGATCAAAAAAAAAAATTGTTATTTTCAAAAATTTAAAAAAAACACTTTTATAATTCATTTTTCACACCCCAAAACCCCACAAAAAAAAAAATTTAAACTACTTTAATAAAATCCTAAATTGTGTAAGGATCAATTTGATAAATATATATATATATTGAAAAAGCCCAAGGGCTAATATATTAAAGAGAAAAAGATGCGGATAGGTTGTATGAGTGGGCCCAAAAGTAGACATCCAATCCCCACACGGTACAACACACACAAAATCTCAAAAGAAAAGATACATATAAGATCAAAAAATCAAAACCACCAAGGCGCGAAAAAAGTCAGGGACGACCCAATTTAGTACTGACTCTGCCTCTAGTTCTTGGAGCCAGCTAACAAATTAATCAGGTGCGTACCATTATATATATTTATTTATTTATTTATTTATTTTTTAAAAAAAAAGCCCAAGGGCTAATTTTATTGGAATAGAAATGATACATAAAGGTTGTATGAGATGGCTCAATAGAGGCATCCTACTCATACGATACCAAGTACAGTACTACCTTAACAAAAGGATACAGAGAGACTCAAGAAATTTAAAACATGCAAAAAAAAGAAAAAAAATAAGTAGCTAGGGACGAGCCAATTTGGTCAGGTCTCTTCCTCTAGTTTTAGGAGTGGAGTCAGATAACAAACTTTGAAATGTCGTGTCATTGTCAGGAGTAACCAAAGTATCATCCATTAAGTTTCCAAGTTGGAGTGTGCCCCCAGCCTTCTTCTTCCGCCGAGAAGTGTAAACTTGTCATTCTTCATCTGAAGGTTGGCTCATGTGATCCTCGATCTGATTAGATATTAGAACAGCAGTAGAAAGAAAGGCATCCGTTGCCACAGCGATATCTTCCAGTGTATGTAAAATGTGAATTGTCATCTCTGCACTTGATGTTTCCTGAATAGGAGTTGAGGAACAATTCTGATTTTCTGTCCGAACATTTTCTCTTATAGTATGGTCAGGAGAAGGGTTCCCAGGAGCAGACAACATTCTTGTGGTGAATTTCTCCTCATGTTGGTTGTCATCAGGTTTGCTGGGAGCGCATTCAGGTGCACTAACAGCATGTTCCTGCTTTTGACTATTAGTTCTCAACTGTGTGTGCAATCTGAAACATTTCTCTTGCGGGTGTCCAAACATCTTACAGTATTTTCAGTAGTGAGGTTTTAGTTCCATAACGATTTTCTGTCAATAACTATTGTGAGCAGAGTCAAGCCAGACTTCTTCTGCATCTAGTAGTGTAATATCTCTTTAAATCAAAATTCTTGCAATAGAGGACCTTCAGAAATGAACTATAGGTGTGTCTATCTGCAAAGATTTTCCAAGGAATATGGTCAGGAGAAGGGTTCCCAGGAGCAGACAACAATCTTGTGGTGAATTTCTACTCATGTTGGTTGTCATCAGGTTTGCTGGGAGCGCATTCAGGTGCACTAACAGCATGTTCCTGCTTTTGACTATTAGTTCTCAACTGTGTGTGCAATCTGAAACATTTCTCTTGCGGGTGTCCAAACATCTTACAGTGTTTGCAGTAGTGAGATTTTAGTTCCATAACAATTTTCTGTCAATAACTATTGTGAGCAGAGTCAAGTCAGACTTCTTCTGCATCTTGTAGTGTAATATATCTTTCAATCAAAATCCTTGCAATAGAGGACCTTCAGAAATGAACTATAGATGTGTCTATCTGCAAAGATTTTCCAAGGAAAGTCCCAATTGCATATAAGATAGATAGGTCAAAGAATTAAAGCTTGAGTTCAGGTAATGAAAACCAGATAGGCACAATTTCAGGGTTCTTGACTGGGATCAAAATCAGCAGTCCATTTGAGCAATGTCATATGCATGCCCTCGATTGTGATGAATTTCTTTGAGAAAAACCTTATTTAATCTTCTTTGATGTTCAACTGTATCATAACATGTCTTCCGTCGAAAAAACCCACCTGTCAAGCCCCAATCCTGTCAAGCCCCAACTAGTTTGAAATCTTAAAAAATCTTCCTGATAACCTCCATCTTAAGATAACCTAATTAGAACTTTCCAACTAGTAAAAATTTGTATTTTCTCGCATGAGTAGAAATTTCAGCGTCAGAGAAGAAAACTGTTGGTTTGCCCTTTTTTCTCTACTTTTTTGATGAGATTGCAATCTCCAAATTCTGCAACAGAATCATGGTACATCTGCAAAAACACCGGACTATCTACAAAGTGGAAAGGGAGTTGCGTTTGTGAACCACTGTAGCATCGCAGCGGCGAGTTTAGCGGGATTATCACCTGCGAGGGCGGCGGCGTAGGAAAGCACTCCTCAAGCCATCTCTAGCAGGTGAAAAAGGCCACAAACTGCGACCGAGGACGAAGGCTGCGACCGATTTCAGTCACTGTGTGAGGAAATATTGCAGAGTACATAGCAGACGACAAAGCAGTTTGTGACCGGGGACGACGGCTCAGTCGACGCACTCGAACGCAGACGACGACAGAGAACGACGCAGTCTGCAACGCAACCAAGGACGAAGGCTCGGCCAGCAGCATGCGACTCTGCGTCCAAAGCCTACGGAACAGTAAAACGACGAGGATGATGGAGTGAAGCCGGAGGTTAAAGCTGGGTTTCTCCATCGGGCGAAACCCTAGCAGAGCTCGCCGCCATTGTGTATGCAATGTTATATGTTTATTTAATTATATATATATATAGCTTAAAAAATTATTTAGTAATAAAATCAGTAAACCCAAGGTTTATTAAATGTTAATATAGCCTAACTATTGCACTGTATATTTCCTCAATTTTAATCTCCACTTATTCAAGCAGCAGTGGCGGATGGGAGTTTAGGTGCTGAGATGGGTTATAGTGCAAGTAGTGCATTAGAATAAATAAATGTAGATGCAAATTAAAGACTTTAAAGCATACCTTAATTTTGTATTAGCCTTCCCGTATCATGCCATCTTGAGAACTCCAAGCACAGGGAAAAGGGGGGAAATGTGGGGGAAAATAAGGAAATGGGAGAAGAGAAATAAGAAGTAAAATAGTGGGAAAGGTA